GTATTCATGACCAAGCACAATTTCAATTTTTAAATATAAATTTTTACTTAAAAATAAATATTACTTTTTTCAACTATTATCAATTTTCATGGTCAGATTCCCCCTTTTTAACTCCCATAACTATCCTAATTTGTTGTTGCATCTATTTTGTCTTGTTAATCTTTTATTGCTTATTTAGTACAAACAAGATTTTTAACACCATAACTTTCCAAATTTTTTGTTGTACCCATTTTGTCTTATTAGTAATTTTTATGGCTTATTTTGTACAAACTACATTTTAACCCCCATAGCTTTACTAATTTGTTGTGGGGTACCCATTTTCCCTTGTTAATTTTTTACTGCTTACTTTCTGTACAAACTATATATTAATCCCATAGCTTTCCTAATTTGTTGTTGTGTGCACACAACTTGCCTTGCTCTTGTGTCTTTTTTTTTTTATTAAAGTCATTTTTTTTATTTAGTAATAAAATACAACCTCATATTCACTTCCACCCCACAAACCTACCCTACCCCACCTCTCATAATATATGTATAGGTTATATATAAATATTTTTAAAATAATATTTTTTATTTACATATTAAGCACAAACACAAAAAGTAACAAATTCATTTATTTATGTAAATATTTTCCTTCCTATCGAACACGCCCTAAAAGTAAAAAAAAATGAATTTGACAAAAATTCAAGTATTTTAGCAAAAAAATCATATAATCATAGATTGAGAATAAAAGAGGAAAACTATAGAGGTGTGATTTATAATTCATATTTCTTCTAGGCCCTTAAGGTTCAATCAATGGCTAAGATTTGGTGATACAATTGTGACCGTCCGATCATGTTTTGTCTGTCCAATGAATCAATACTATATTGAAATCTGAGATAATAAATGAGTTAGAAAGAGTGGTTTGGTTATCGAGATTAGTCAAAATCTTGATATTATTTACTCGCGCGTTCTAATTTATGTGACATCATTTTTATAGTTCGTTACAAAAAAAATGTCACATATATGTAATTGACAATTACTAGCATTATTCTAATTTTATTGTTATTGAGTCTCACAGTTAACATTTTATTGTGAAGAAAAATAAACACTAAAATGACTTTAGTAAAAACAATTTGATATAAACATAACAAAATCATTCTTTTACTTCATAGGCTCTGCATTAATCAAACGATATCACATACTTTGAGATGAAGGAAGTACCTCACATAAGAGGCGGGACTATATATATGATTAATCATGAGATAACTTTATTTTGAACCAAATGGCTAGTCATAGTTATAGGATGAATTCAATTTCTTACCCTAGTGTTGGAGACAATTAATTTTATGAGAAAAGAATTCAAAATATATCTGAACTTTGACCGAAATTAATAGAATAATTCCAAACTTTGGACATGGCCTATTATTCATGCACTATTTAATAGTATATTTTAAAGATATATAAGTGTACACGTGAATATCATAAATATTGCATCATTATAAATTCGAAAAAAGATCGGACCACCGAGGTTAGTTTGCAACTTTACCCAATATTTTTGCATGAAGTTGTTTCAACACATAAAATATTACTAATTATATATATAACATGATTTTTTGATGAGAAATTCACTTTTACCCCTTTAATTTTGCTCCAATCACAGTTTTAGTTGTAGGTCTTTAATTTAAATTTGGGAATTAAAAAAATCGTTAAAATTTAGTTTTTTTTTTAAAATCTATTTATTTAATTTTAATTTAACACAAAATTTAAGAAAGTAAATACACTTGAGAAATTTTATTTATTTGACACGTGTGAAGTATGTCAAATGTCATTTTTATAAATAAATATTTTTTCCATTTCTTTTTTTAATAAAAAAATATTCATAACCTCACCAAATTTGACAAAGCTTATATCGTCATAATTAACTAAAATGAAGATTGTTAAGATCACATTTGCATATAATAATACAAATTTGATAGTCAAGAATGACCTATGATGCGTCTTCTTCAATAATTGTGAAATAACTATCGAAGTCTCTTTAATTTTATCAGTCTATTATTTTAATTCTATATAGTCTAACATATACACTTGTAAAGCTATATGTGGATTCCTTCAAAAGCCAAAATTAAAGGGTTTTTTTTTCTCTTTTGTCTTAGAAAAAGAGAGTTCTAATTTATAAGACTTAAAAAGTTAAATTTACTTTTTGGGAGATATATTCAAATACAATGTCTTGAGATAATTTGAATATCCTTTTCTTTTCTTAAGCATGTTGGACACAAATTAGCTTGTGTTTGACAAAACTAAATCGACCTATTTTTGATGGATTCTATTTTTAAAAAATTACATTTTTTTAATAGTAGCACTACTTGTGTGCATGAAAAGCTCTGATTGAAACTTGAATATTTTTTTATTGTTTCCATAGTTAAAATAAATTCTCCAAGTATAATTTTTAAAATAATTAAGAACATTCAACGATTAGAAAACGTATATAACTTTAAATGTTTTTAGAATCAACATTAAATCTTGAAAAATGTTTAATAATTCTCTCATTTCTTTGACTTTTAAAAAATAATATACTTTTGAAATATATGTATTTGTTTGAAAACAAGATGTTTCTATCATAAGAGACATGATTGTTCACATATTTTTCTCATTTTATTATCATTTGTTGAATTTTGATTGTACATATTGACCCCATCAATAATTGATTTATATATAATTTGTCAACCTTGAAAAGACAAAAAAAAAGAGAGGAAAAAATAAAGAAAAAAGGAACGTAAATGGAAATTAAAAGGAAGTTATGTTGAAACTGTCTTTTTCTTTAATTATTTTATTAAAAAAATAATATATGACCATCGTTTGTTCATCTTTTTTGAGTTACGAACACACAAGGTCATTAAATATGTGTTAGGTGCGTGATCCATCAACATATAACCTATTAACAATAGGAAGAAAATATAACATATCACAATAGAAGTTATATTCCAGGAATTAAAGCTCCTTACCAATTATCGCCTTAGGAAGGGAGTATCATACAACTTCACTCGTAGTTAATAATAATAATATCATTTCTTTGTATTCAGAATTGAAATCTTTTATCTGATTTGTCAATTCATTCTCGAGGCATGAAATAACTGAAGCGAGCCAACAACAAATCATAATATAGTGTGTACGTTTTAATTAATTGTCACTAGCAATCAATTTACTATCCACACTTGTTATACACTTGTGATGTTTCATTTTACCATCTTTAAAATCATGTAACATGTGCTAAAATCTAAAATAATCTAAGTTAGGTTCAATGATCAATGACTAATCAAAAGCCATCATAATCTTAGTTGATATATAACAAACTTATGTGCATGTATATATGTGTGACACGTTTTGCAAATGAAATTTAAATATGAATGTGAAAGTTCAATATATTTTGAAGAAAATATTACTATGAAATTATTATTGGTAATAGTACAATTAGAACGTGGTCATTATAAGGTTCTTAAATATTTTAGTACACTTGTTGATATCAGTCACATCTTATGACATCTATAATATTTAATTACATGTTTTTTTGTTTCACTCATTGTATTGTTTGTTATTGTTACTGATATTTTCTCTATTATTTTCAATATAGCTTTTCCAAACTCGATTTATTATATGCTTTTATTAAGTTTAGAACCTTTCATAAATAATTTTTTACCCTCGATCACAAGACAAGGATATGATTTGCAATACATATCAATAATCTTTCATACTCTTATTTATAAAATTATACTGAATATTTTGTTGTTATTACATTCGTAGTACTTTTGGCCTAATACCATGTTATTGTTTTTGTAATCTTCTTAACACTTGCACTTAAAATAATAAGACTACCATTACTTGAATATTTTTAAAAAATTAATAATCACTAAAACTGTCCTTGTTTAATGATTTTCTCTATTTGCATTAGTTGTACTTTGTCTTTAGGTAGCCAAATTCCACATTGTCACGTGCAAATACCCAACAAGGAAAGAAGAAAACATGCATTGAGAAAGCAAGCTTATAAAATCTACACTAAAATTGTATTGACTCAATGTGATTAAATTAATTTTCTACCTAGTATCTGATACTTATATTAAGGCTTGACTATGATAAAATTTGCTTAGAAAAGTCCCACCTCACTTATTGACTATTCATATCAGAATTTTAAATTGAGACCTCTAGTTCAGTTGTGCAAAATGAATGAATATAAACTCTGACATAGTTCATGTTATTGTAAGCAAGTCGTTTTTATTTTTGAAATAATCTTTGTCTTTTTATAAAGGTGATCAAATCTCAGAGAAAGTTCATCGTTGATAATACGGGTCCGCCCACCAACATTATCACCATTATAAATTGACATAATATTACACTATGTGAATAACAAACTGTAGTGCAATATTAATGGGACAATTAAAGTTGGTGGGATAAAGTTGTGTATGTTATTAAACAAATTAAGTTATTATTCACTGAATTACGCGTTGTGGTTAATAATTGGTGTGGTTTAGTGTGTACTTGACCCATAAATTAGTTCATGTTAGATTAATTATACATATTAATTAATTAATAATATATAAACCTAATATAATATTATATATATACCTAGTTTAATACTCTCTCCATTTCATATTAATTTAATTTTTGAGGCATTTTTCATTTTTCAAATTAACTTAATTGTTCAGTTTTCAATATTACTTTTAGAGTGTTACGTTCTTCCAATTTTACCCTTCATTAGTTAATATTAGAATTAGTGATTAATTGATATTTAGTTATTTTAATCATAAATTTGACAATAATTAATAAGGGTAAAAATGGAAAACTAGGTTCAATTTATGTCTTAATCTACTTTTCTTAAAGGGTGTGAAACACCTCAAAAATTAAATTAATATGGAATGGAGGGAGTACTATATAGAGAAAATTTCAGAAATAGCAAACATAATAGACATAATAAGGCTTTATAATTATAGTTTCGATAATTGCACTCCATATCTATAATTCCGTTTACTATGGAGGCTGTGGTTGTATATTTCTGTCCGTTTGTATATTTTAACCCATTTTTTGTCTTTCTTCTTTTGGGCTTTTACTCCATAGATTTGGGCCTATGTCAACGGCTAGTTAACAATAGATCCGAACAAAGTTGTTAAGCGATAACAAAATTCAAATTTTTCATTCACAACGGCTATTGCTATACACAGAAAAGTTTCAATTTTTTTCTTTTTTACTCTTCCATTAAAGCTTGTAACTTTCAATTTACTTACTTCAAACTGAAAAAAACCCAGTTGTTGTTTCTTTTGAATGGACTACAACCCAGAAATTTAATCAAAGGTACTTTTTCAACAACACCCATTTTGTTTAATATTGTTTCTTGATTAGTAAATAGAAAGAAAAATTGAATCTTGTTGTATGATGTTGTGTAAGTTTTTTTTTGTGGGTGTCTGAAAGATTTAGTCTTTCGGAAACACACTCTCTACCTCCACAAGGTAGTGGTAAGATCTGCGTAGATTCTATCCTGCTCGGATGAAATTTCACTGGATATGCTATTGTTCTTGTTGTTGGTGTCAGGCAAAATTACTAATTGTTAATGTTTTTATGTTTTTTCCTCTTGATTATGTGAATGTATGACACTCTGAAGTTAGCAATTCCTTTCAATTTTAGTAATTTATGATTCTGTGAATATATGTGTTGTTTGAGATTATTGAGAATATGATTTTAGATATAAGGTTGCGGAGGACATAGATTAGGTTAGTAGTGTGTTGTCTTGCTGTCCTTCGAGACTATTATTAGTCGTAGTGCTGTTGTTGTTTCTTGTCCTTCGGTTTCTGTTACTATACTGTTGTTGTATAATAGTTCTGCTTGTGTAATTATTTAGGGCAGATTCTGCCAGAGCATGAAAATGTACAAATTTTTTGTAAAATATTTCAATGCTTAGCATGTATGTGTTTTTTAATCTTCTATATTTCATTATTTAAGATTAAATGTGTCAAACTTATGAAATTCTGGCATTTCCAGTGAGTAAGAATTAGTGTCCTTCCTTAGAAAAAGCTTAGATCTTGGATTTATGTGGAGAAAGATTGTGAACAAGGAGCACCTAGTTAGACAGTTTATTTTAGGATGTTATTGTGATTATAAGAGCACTGCACTAGACTAGAAACTGGACCAATTGGAAGGTTCAAAAGCATTTCGAGTTTTCATATCGTCCAATGAGAGGCAATGGAGCTAAACCTGATATGTTCATTAGGAAATCCATTAATATGTATATAAATATTTAGGGTCGCAAGTTCAGAACTCATAAACTTTAATGGTGTTCCGCGTCTGAGTTCCAGTCTTGCCTAAATTCATGTCTTTGCTAATGCCTTTCTTGGAGGTAAGAGGTTTAGGGATCGACACTTAGCTGTTACTCCATCTGTCATCTGTCTCTATAGTTTTCATTTCTTGAGATTGTAGATTAACACAAAAGCTGCACTGTGCAGCTGATAGGGAGAGATACTTGAGGGAAGCTAAAAGCCAAAATATATGCAAAAACGTTTTGCCAATGACTTCAGTTGGTTTGTTTTCAAATCTGATCTTTTTGGAGATTGATATTATAGCATGTCCTGTTTAGTATTGTTTCGTTGTGGTTACTGCTCTCATTTATGTATTCCCTTTTTTAAACTGCTTGGAAATGCTTTATTTTAAGTCGAGGGGTCTATCGGAAACAACCTCTCTATCTTTACGAGGTAAGGGTCTATCAAAAACCTCTCTATCTTTATGAGGTAGGGGTAAGGTTTGCGTACACTCTACCTTCCCTAGACCCCACTTGTGGGGTATGTTGTTGTTGATAGTAGATGATGTTTTGATGCTGAAATTCTCTCTATTGTGCAAACAGGTGTTTTAGTGGATCTCAGTTCGAGTGAGGAAATGGACACAGTACATGAAGCACTAGATGAGGCCAAACTTGAGATTGAAAAGCTCAGGGTAAACTACCAAGGTAAAGCTGAGTTGTGTGAGAACTTGAAAAGAGTCAATAATGAGTTGCTAACCAAGAATCAGGAGGCGAATTTGAAAGTAGAGAAGCTCAGTCATGAATTGTCTGGGAAAGAAGATGAGCTTGCTGTCACTAAACAGTTGCACGAGGCAATCGAGTCAAAACTTAGAGAAAAGGAGACTGCTGTCAGGCATCTAAGTTCTACAAATGATAAGCTTCGTGCTGACATTGCTGAGATGGTCCGAAAGTTTGAAGAAGAGAATAGAGGGCTGGCATTGGCTTTAGATGGTGCTAATTCAACTAATATGGATCAGGAACAGCAGATTCGTTCTCTTGAACAAGAAATTGAGGGGCTAAGGGCTTCGGCTTTACAGAAGAAAAAGTCCTTGGAAGTTGATGAGAAGAGAGCCAAAGCATCCAAAGAGCTGAGAAACACCAATGATATGCTACTGGAGATGGAGCAGGAAAACAGGAAGCTCACAGATCAACTAAAATGGAGGAATGAACAGTTCATTCATCTGGAAGAGGCTCATGGCAAGCTCAGGCAACAACTTAAAAAATGTGAAGAAGAGAAAGAAGGGCTGGCATTGTCTTTAGATGGTGCTAATTCAACTAATGTGGATCAAGAGCAACAGATTCGTTCTCTCAAAAAGGAAATTGAAGGGCTAAGGGAATTCGTATTGGCTTCACAAAAGAAGTCCTCAGAAGCTGAGAAGAGAGCCAAAGCATCCAAAGAGCTGAGGCACAGTGATGATATGCTTTTTGAAATAGAGGAGGAAAACAGGAAACTTGAGGAACAACTTAAATGGAAGAAGGAACAGTTCAGTTATCTGGAGGAGGCTCATGGCAAGCTCAAGCAACAGCTTAGCAAGTATGAAGAAGATGGTAGAGGGATGGCATTGGCTCTAGATGGTGCAAATGCAACAAATTTGGATCAAGAGCAACAAATTCGTTCTCTCAAACAAGAAATCGAGGGGCTAAGGGAATTAGTATCATCTTCACAGAAAAAGTCCTCAGAAGTGGAGAAGAGAACTAAAACATCCAAAGAACTGAGACACAATGATGATATGCTGCTCGACATGGAGGAGGAAATCAAGAAGCTTGCAGATCAACTTAAATGGAAGAAGGAATCGTTCAGTCATCTGGAGGAGGCTCATGGCAGACTCAGGCAACAACATCTAGAGGAGGAGAAAGAATGGGCTAAGGAGAGATCCACATTGCTAGATGAGATTTCCAAACTGCAGGTGAATTTAGATTCTCAGCTTAGAATCTCGAAAGATCTTGAAAGCCGTTTGTGGATGTGCAATCAGGCTTTAGCTCATGAAGAAAGCAAGAGAAAGCTACTGGAAGTTCAACTTGCTGAGTCTAAAACAACCTTTAACAGTGTCTGTGCGGAGTATGAGGAATCCAAGTCTATAATTGAGAGCCTGACAAGTCAGAGGGACAAAGAAATTGCAACTCTAAGAGACATATTGGGCTCAAGGGATACACTTCACAAGGAAATGGAATACCAATTCAGGAGGGTAGAGCAAGAGAATCATGAATTGATGACATCCCTTAAAGAACTCCAGGAAGCCAAAATTCAAGAAGCTGGAGCTTCTTCTTCCTTGTCAAAACTCCGAAACAAGCTCAAAGGCCTGGAGCAGGTGCACAAGGACTGTTTTGGTAATCTCAAAGCCAAAGAAGCTGAATGGGCTTCTAAATTGGAGAAACTAACGGGGGAGCTTGATCTCTACAAGTCGTCTGTACAGAGCAAAGACACTTTAATAATTGAACTTCGAGAGGAGTTGGAGACGTGTGAATCACTAACATTGCAGTTAACACTACAGAATGAGGAGACTTCCATGATGCTGTTAGTGTTGAAATCTCAGTTTTTTGAGCTCCATCAAAGAATTGTTGATGATTATGCTTCTATGGAATTGGAGAAGAGAGAAGGAGTTGAGAATATCTCTACTCTAATCAAACAGTTGAATACGAAGAATGAAGCTCTTGTTAGAGTTCAGGAAGATCTCGAAGAGGAGCGTGAAAAGGTAGCACTGCTGTCAGAAAAGATCGAGTCCTTGAATTCTGAAGAACAACAACAGCTTCCTTTACAAAGAGAGGTTGATACACTAAAGGAAATGCTGAAAGAAGCATCAACTTCTCAAAGTCATTTGAAGGAGCAGGTATTGCATACAAAGAGTGACTTGGAACAAGTTCGTGATGCCTTGGATAGAGCAAATGAAGAACTAGCTGAAAGTTTCGAAGAAGGAAATGAACTGGAATTTGAACTGCAGGTATGGAAATCTGTTGCTGAAAAGTTGAAAGCCAACTTGGAAGAAAACCTTCAAATGAGGAGACAAATAGAAGCCTCCCTTCTTGCCCAAGCAGATGTTGAATTTGACCTCAAACAAGAAAGAGAAAGCCTTGAACTCGAGCTGGCAGAAAAAGATACAAGAGTGAATGAACTCCAGCAGCAGCTCTTCGACCAGAAAAGGGAACAGACAGCGTTGCTCAGTGAAAATATTGAGGACAAGAAGACTTCTCAGGATCTTCAGAAGGAAGTGGAGTATTTGGAGCAAGAGTGGGTGAGAAAAGAGCTTGAAGGTGCCATTTTTGAGCACGTGGAAGCAGAAACACAGCATAAGAAGGAGAAAGAGAGTCTCCACCAGCTTGTTGAAGAGAAAGACCACAGAATAAATGATCTTCAGAAGGATGTGGAGTATTTGGAGCAAGAGTGGGTGAGAAAAGAGCTTGAAGGTGCCATTTTTGAGCACGTGGAAGCAGAAACACAGCATAAGAAGGAGAAAGAGAGTCTCCACCAGCTTGTTGAAGAGAAAGACCACAGAATAAATGATCTTCAGAGCACAAGTGGAAGCAGAAACAAAGCATAAGAAGGAGAAAGAGAGCCTCCACCAGATTGTTGAAGAGAAAGACCACAGAATATATGATCTTCAGAAGGAGGTGGAGTATTTGGAGCAAGAGTGGGTGAGAAAAGAGCTTGAAGGTGCCATTTTTGAGCACGTGGAAGCAGAAACACAGCATAAGAAGGAGAAAGAGAGTCTCCACCAGCTTGTTGAAGAGAAAGACCACAGAATAAATGATCTTCAGAAGGATGTGGAGTATTTGGAGCAAGAGTGGGTGAGAAAAGAGCTTGAAGGTGCCATTTTTGAGCATGTGGAAGCAGAAACACAGAATAAGAAAGAGAAAGAGAGTCTCCACCAGCTTGTTGAAGAGAAAGACCACAGAATAAATGATCTTCAGAAGGAGGTGGAGTATTTGGAGCAAGAGTGGGTGAGAAAAGAGCTTGAAGGTGCCATTTTTGCCAAAGTGGAAGCAGAAACAAAGCATAAGAAGGAGAAAGAGAGCCTCCGCCAGATTGTTGAAGAGAAAGACCACAGAATATATGATCTCCAGCGGCTTGTCAACTCGCTGGAAAATGAGTTTGAAAGTTCAACTAGTTCATTCTCAGCCAGTCTCTCGGAAATGCAAGCAGAGGTTGATGTGTTTCATAAAACCTGGGAGAAGATGAGAACAGCTGAGATCCTAAAAGAGATTGAAATACAGATGAGGAACTTGGTGATCGTTGAATTAGAAAATGAATTTTGCAAGTTGCAAAAGGAAGTGGAGCACTTGGAGAAACACGCGTCCAATTCTGTTGGAAAAAGGACAGAGCTTGAAGATGAGATTGAAGCCAAAATATCAGAGATAGATGTGTTGCAGTTTAAACTTGAAAAGCAAGTAAGAAGCTCAGATATTGTGATCAAGAACCTACGTAAAGAAAAAGCAAAGCTTCTTGAAGATGTCATGAAATTGTCATCAGACAAGGACAAGTTGCTTGATACTTTCATGGAATTATCAGAAAGAATTTCCCGGATGTCTAAGGAAGATATGCAGCTAGCTGGTAGTTTGGAAAGGATGGTACAAAACTGTGACAGCAGTATGCCGGGAACAGACTTGAAATGGGATAATGAATTCTTTGACCCTGTTAAAGAGAACAATAGCAGACGCCCTTCCACTCCAACTTCCACTTCAACCAAGAGATTAGAAGCTATTCTTGATGAAAGATCACCATTGAGATCTCTCAACAATTAGCAAGGAAATTCAAATAAGGAAAAGAGAAGTTATTTTTTTTGTATAGCTTCTTGACAAACTTGATCTAACTGTTTGTTTTCTTGTCAGCAATCTGTAACTGGCTCGGAAAAACACGTTTACTTAGAGCTTCCATTTCAGAAACTTTGTAGCATATATTCATTCACTTCGATTTTTTAGTTCTTTTTCAAGCGAGTCAGTTCCTTGTATACAGTTGCAAGCAAATGACAATGACAACCAACATTTAGTACTGTTTTAATGACTGCTTTTTGTATTCATGTTGTATGTTAAGGGCAGATTTTGCTATCTACTAACTGTTCTTATACCCTCTAGTAAGCTGCATTTACAGTTATGGCGGATAAACAATTAAACTGTCTGACTGAAATCTGTCCTTCTTAATACATCAAGAAAGCATCATTAACAATTAGTTAACAAAGAACCTGCTTCATAACACAAATCCTTAGTTACTTTTTAACTGCTGCAGCCATTAATTCTGGGATATAAAAGACTCCATCCGTTCTTTCTTGACAACTCTTTAATTTCAATTTTCCACATAACATGTTTAAGACCACAAGATTCTACATATCTTTTAACTTAACACTACGAGATTCAAAAGTCTTTTAATTTTTTTAAACTCCATGTCAAGTCAAAACCAGACTAGCATATTGAAACAAAGGGAGTCAAAACTTAATAATTGATGTAAAATTACAATGCATTTCCTAATTCAAGCCATTATAGTTACTTGTAAGTTTTGCAAGTGTTATTTTTTTAAAAAGCTATCTTACTTTGAGTTAGCTTGCTATTGTTTGCAACTTGTTAAATCATGCAAACACTTGGTATGTAGGATTTCAATAAAATGTCAGTAGGAGTGTTTTTCCTTTCGAGTCTTTTGCCTTACGATCTATAGACCTTATTTCACTGATCTTTTATTTTTTTCTCACAATTGTTGCATTTCCTCTAGTCCCCTTGAAAGAGGAAAGAGCCTAAGCCTTTCATTATTATTCATTATTCATCAATGTTAATGAACACAACTTCTTCTTAACTCCTTTTTTACCCCATAGAATTATATATTAAATAGAAAGTGGTTTTAGTTTGGATTTGCCTTAATTTCTCCCCAATTTTTGCTTCTAAAGAAAACTAACAAAGCTATCAAAAAAGACCATAATTTAACGTTCACACAAATATTAAAGTAATATTCGTATCTTACAAATTCTCCCGTTAAACAAAACACTCACTATCCCTTAACATTATGAATGTTACCAAGTGAAAAAAAAATAAGCCTCAAAACCTTTCTCCTACTACCAGAAAGTGGATACCAACAATAATATATAGTTAGTGTATAATATATGTATATATTTATCGAACGGCCAAATATGTAACTTCATCAAATTATTGGTCATTCCATAATTGACCTTGGTGTTTTCAACAAGGACAAAACTAGCACCTCAACCTCAAATTTCCCAATTGGTACCCTCCATTGGAAATATTATTCCCAATATGCCACGTGTCCCAATTATATGTAACTTTTTAATTTTTATTTTGGGAAAAACACATTTTTCTCTTCTTCTTCCACCTCCATAACTTTTTTTTCCCTTGTTTTTACAAAGCATCATACATACGGCGTCGTTTTGAAGGTTTCTTCCTTTCTCTGTATTCCGGTAGGCAAGGGTAGTTTCATCATCTTCATCTTCTTGGTAGTTTCCTTTATGTATTTTTTTCTTTTTTCTTTTGAAAGTTGGGTTTTTTTTGTTCAATTTGGCTTAAAATTTTCAATTTTCTGTATTTTTTCGGTTTTTATTGGAAATGGATTAGTAGAAATTTGAATTCTGTGAAAAAAGAAAATACCCATGTAAAAAGATTTGATTTTTCATTCAAACTCCACTTCTGAAGGCTGATTTTTAGGGTAGAATTGAGACTAGGGTTATATTAGTGACTTAATTTCAATTCTGATGATGTTTTCATTTATGGGTTTTGCAGATATTTTTCAAGAGAAGTAGAGGTTGAGGGGGGAATCATCACTATCCTTGTTTTGTAATTAGGAAGACTCTTTGATCAATGTGGAGTAGTTTAGTTATCTTATGCTGCTAGTGATAGTTGGTTGTTTCCTTAGCTTTGTCCAATAATGGCTGCTGTGGGTTCTTTGCAGTTGTCCCATTATTTGGGGACTTGCAAGAACCATGAGCGCCTTAAGAAATATTCACCTATACAGGTACCTTTTCGACTTGGTTATATGTTTTATTTACATCACTAAATCTTCTTCCCATATTGAGTGAATGGTAGGAAACAACACCTAAAGTATCTGTGTTTTCGAGTTTATTCCTATCACCTACTATTCATCAAAACATACATACTTGTTCATATTTCCTTTCGTTCTGAACGATGATGATATTTCATGTAGGAAAAAGGAACAACTAATAGTTGAGGTGTGTTTTGATAAATAGTTGGTCATAGTTCAGGTAGATAGGAAACTCACATACATGATAGTTCAAGTATGAAACTTGAAAAAAAGGGATACTTTAGGTATTTTTTGACCATTAACTCTTTTATATTATTTGGTTTAATTCCACTTGCTTCCTTATAGAACACACTTGGAAGGAGCAGGTGGCATTCTTGTTGCACGAATCTGTCATCTTTTTCATCGGTAAGTACTTTTGATTGCACGTGGATGACTTCTTTGGATTCCAGAAAAGATTGGTGTAAATTGTGTATAACTTCTTTCCCCGTCTCCCCTTGCCCATCCTGTTCCTACCCATGCATTGAAAACAGTTTTGTTTATCTCATTTTATAGATATTGGTTCACTTGTAAATGATTGAACAATCTCGCTCCTCATAAGGTCTAAAAAAGGAAGGAAAAAAAGGAGAAGAAGAAAGGTCTAGAGGAACTTTCTATCACTTTGCCTTCACTATCCCGGTTAAAAGAAAGAAGAGAAAACTCCAAGAGAAAAATAAGGTGGCAATCTTGTAGTAAAAGAATTAGCTCAATGGGTATTATTTCTTAGGATAGTGTAATCAATGCAAATAGGGTGCTTGCGCTTTTTCCTTGTTGATATCTTCTCTGTTATTCAATTGTGGTAATGTATTTGGCTTCAGAAATTTGTTCTAAACTCAATTTTCTGTTATGTTACATTTTCAGCGGCAGGACTCTTGGAGTATCCATCACTTAAGAGGATTGCAAGTGAAGAAACATGTGCTCCCATGTAGAAGCAATTTGTTCAAGTGTAATTCTTTCCTAAAACCTGACCAAGCTTTTGACATTTCTGTAAAGAATGCTGCTATTATACTGAAAAGGTAATTCTTGTTTGTGTTCAATCAGAGAAGACTACGTGTGTATTATTTGCTATACGTGGCCTTCATATGAATAGATCTGGGTAAAGATGAACAAATTGAAATTCAAGATTAGATGACGATGATAGTTTTGAATAATGCTTGAATTAGGAGGATAGCTATAGTATCTTAACAGAGATGTTAAGAAACTAAGTTAAAGCAGCTATCTACATTGTGTGGTGGAACCCTTTACTTTTTTAGATCTAATATATTGAAGTTGAGTTTAGGCGTCTTGAAATGGTTTACTAACCATAGTAAATAGGATGAGGTCTGCCTGCTTATTTTGAGGAAAAAACAATAGTTTCTTTATAGCACAATTCCAACTTGTATGCACATACTTTAGTATCAGCGGCCAGATTTCACCCCTTTTACCTGTTTAACATAGTTTATATTGTTTCCTCGTAAATTTTAATGAAGAAGATTATTGTTGATTCATGCAGATCATACAATAGCTTACAAGGAAGCCCACATCTGCTTAAGTTGCTTCCGGCAATTGGAATCCTTACTTTTGCAGTTTGGGGTCTTGCACCATTTCTGCGTCAAAGTAGAAATGTACTCCTTCATGTATGAGTATGTTTGTTTTGGTTATATTTCTTTGTACATATCCCTCTTCGTCTATTTTTAGTTTGACAACAATGCCTGATTATGGTGCAGAAGAATGATAACAGCTGGGGAAAGAGTGGTACATATCATGTTATGACCTTTTATCTTCAACCTTTGCTGTTGTGGACTGGGGCAATGCTTGTCTGCAGGTTAGTTCATTCAATTGCAAGCAGAGATCTTTCCCTCATGACTGATTTACTTCTTGATGGCAAGCTGATGCATGAAATATATTTCTTGCAGAGCATTAGACCCCATGGTGCTACCAACAGAAGCTAGTCAAATTGTTAAACAACGGCTTCTGAATTTTGTAAAATCATTGTCTACTGTGCTCGCCTCTGCATATTGTTTGTCCAGGTAAGTGTGGTTTCTGGAGATCTTAAAAAAACCCCTTTGTAGCCAATCGCTTATCTAATTTTAATATTAATGAATTACGGGTGAACGACGGGAATTGAACAAGCATATTGTTGATAGAACTCCAAAATGACATTCTTTTGACCAAATTTTGCTCTGCTTTACCACTCAGAAAAAATGGAAGATATTGTTAATAACTAGAAGTACGTCGTGTTCATTAACATCTTGGAAATATTCTGCCATAGTTAGGGCAGTCAAACCTATGCTCGAAAATCAAAATATTTTGAGCACAGTTTATATGGTTCAGGTGTATTTTATCTTTAGTATGACTTATTTTAAATAGAACTTCTTCAACCAACTAAACTTAAACAACATTTGATGATGAAATATGAAAAAAAAATTGAAAAAATTCTGAAGCAGAATACGTTTTTTGAGGCTTTATAAAGAAATCATGCTTGTACTAAAATCAGTGGTCTAATTCTAAGGTTTCAAGCATTTTTGTGTTGACATTGTCTACTTGGACTGTCATATTGCAATTGGTTTAAAAGTTGTCCATATGTCGGCATTTGTCTTGTGCTTTCTATTTTATACTCCCTTCTAGTAGATGACTGCATTAAGTTGCAGCAAGATAAAGTGAAGAAAGTCTTGAGATATTTATATTGGTGCACATCTTATATCAGAAATGATATGGTATGTGCTTAAAGTAATAAGTTAATTGTTTAAAAGAGGGGTACTTTTCTGAATTATGACTCAAGACTAGCCTA